TACAAAAAAAACAGAGAGAGAGAGAGAGAGAGAGAGAGAGAGAGAGAGAGAGACTTCAGTAGTCTAGGACTACAACATTAAGTCATATTTAATACCCTTCTGTGATTAGTTTTTGAAACTCTTCCTGTCGCTACAGGAAGTTAACCCCAATCACATACCACCACGTATTCCTTAGAGGTCCCTGGAGTGAAGGCTCGTGTGTATTCAGGAATAGTATCAATAGCTTCTCCCCTTGGCCCAGAGTTGAACCACCACATTGAATGTGCTGCAAATCTTTGCAAGTCAACCATTTCTTCCCACTCCACTATAGCGAGACCCTGCCTATGGAATTGGGGGACATATTTGTTGTTTTCCTCTTTTCTACTCCTCCCCACGCTTGGAACAAGATCCTTTCCTTAAATTCCCCTTAATACAGCAGAGCTAGGCTGCAATTTTAGCGAAGATTTGCTTGAAAGTTTAAAGCAGGGGAAGTACAAACCAGTGGAGATCCTAATTGTGCTGCTCTTAGACTAGGAGGCCCAAGTGTAATGTCATGGAAGTGGGGATGGTCAGTCTGTTACCTGTGGCAAGCACCAGTTTAGGCCCAGCTTGTCCTCACTGCTGGGAATCTCTTGAATTTCTCTTACTACTTAAAATCCAGTGGTGGGAGAGAAAGAAGAATTTCTACCCCCATGAAGATCTAAGGCTTTCCTCACAGGCTCCCATTTCCTATCCTAAGAGGTGTCTTCCCAGGAGTATTCACTCATTTTAAAGAAATCCTCATTTTTCTATCCATAACCCCCAGAGCAACAAAGTTAGCATATACATAGCTTTAACCCAATTAAACTGAGAAATAGAATACTACCTAATTTATTAGTTAAAGCCTACAGCAAATATATGTGAAGTTGCTAGAGTTTACTAAAGGTTGTTTCAGCCTTCTTCAGACACAGAGTGGGTATTTACATTTGTGCAATCCAGCATCTTATTCAGGGTTTTTAAATTGTTTTTTCCCCAACAAAGGATTGGCTTGCCTGAAGGATATATTAGTGTCTCCACTTCTTTGGGGAGATTTAGAAAATTAAAAAATCTTTAAATAAATAAATGCTTTTCCAGTTTCTAGTCATTGAATAGGAATTATTTTCTGCCAGGACACCATATGTTAATTTAAGTGATTTGGACTAAAGACAGAAAAAAAAGTACCCCATATCTTCTCTTGTATGTGAAAAGTTAAAAAAAAAAAATGACCTGAAAGTAGAACAGTG